CACATGGTGCAGCAGGTCCTTAAGCGCTTCGGCTTCACCTGGTCCTCGACACATGCCACTCCTCTGGCTATAGGTCACTCGCTCTCAGCTCCACCTTCGGACAAGTCCGTAGAGCCGAGTGGTCCTTACCCAAAGCTAGTTGGCTGCCTCATGTACCTGATGACCTACACTCGTCCTGACCTTGCGTACCCTCTTGGCCTTGTGGCTCGCTACGTGGCTCCTGGTCGGCACCGAAAGGTGCACATGGATGCTGCTAAGAGGGTACTACGCTACTTGTGTAGTATATCAGGCGTTGGGCTCGTGCTTAGAGGGAGGAGCTCAGTTGTTCTCACAGGGCACTCAGACGCTTCTTGGGTTGACGACCAGGGTACTCAGCGGTCGTCACAGGGTTACACCTTCAGCCTTGGCTCTGGTTCAGTTTCGTGGCGTTCCACACGCTCGTCTTCTGTTCTCAGCTCCAGTTGTGAGGCTGAGATCTACGCCACAGCCATGGCTGCACAGGAGTTACACTGGCTCACCTACCTGCTGACTGACTTGGAAGAGCGGCCTCGTTCTCCTCCAGTGCTGTACGTCGACAACAAGGCTGCCATTGCCTTGTGTGAGGAGCACAGACTGGAGCACAGAACGAAGCACATCGCTCTACGTTACTTTCTGGCTCGTGAGTTGCAGCAGCGTGGTCAGCTTCGCCTGCGTTACGTGGCCACTCGGGCCAACACTGCTGATATATTCACCAAGGCACTTCAGGCTGGTAATCATCAGCGTGTCTGCACTATGCTAGGGCTTGTGTCCACTTTTCCTCACTTGCTGTAGGCCTTGCTTGTACTGTGATCTATATATACATACCTGCATGCTTGCTTTGCTAGGTAGAGATCACTGTGATGTTTGTGTTACATATATGCCTCTGCATGTGAACTGGCCTTGTGGCCCTTTCCTTGTGCTCAGTGAGTGTGGTGACGTTGTGATCCACCCTTAGCTTGCTTTGCCTTTCTTGACTGGTCTTCTGACCCCTTGCTCTCCCCCACTTTGCCTATGGGGGTGTGTCAAACATATGTTTATATATTATAGTTTAGGTAGGCTTTAGTGGGGTACTCACTGTGGGGTACAACCCCTTAGGTTTCACTCTTGTACCAAACCTTCTCGATAGTTGAATCATCCCTATCACCCTATTCTAACAGGCACTTCGTCCTTCCTCTGTTCCAAAACGTGCTCCCCTACCGTCTCCTCCCGCGTCTTCTCTGCCTGACATTCAGGACCCTGAGTCTGACCTGGTTCGTGCTCCTCACCCTAATGTCACGCGTCTGCTTGCCATTGTTGTCACTGACCCGTCGTTTGAGTCTGCTGCTGCGTCTGCCTTAGTCTCTAAGCTCGTTAACTTTGTTGCTGCCTGTCGTCTAGACTACGCTGCTAGTCTTGTTGCCGAGTCTGAGTCTGTCCGTCCTTCGTCCGTCAGGGGTGAGTGTGCTCTTGGCACGGACGTCCTTGAGGACAGGCATGAGGACTTTGAGTGTCTTGCAGCCGCTGCGCCTCATCTCGTGGCCATGCTGCTTGCCCCTGAGGGAGACCCGGATGCACCAGACATCCCGACTCCGCGTTCTTACGCTGAGGCGATCGCGGGTCCCCACTCCTCTCAGTGGCAGACAGCCATGTACGCAGAGATGGCATCCTGGAAGCCCACAGGCACTTACGTCGATGAGGTTCCCCCTCCTGGGGCGAACATCGTCGATGGCATGTGTATTTTTAGGGTGAAGCGGCCGCCGGGTTCTTTGCCCGTCTTCAAGGCTCGTTACGTTGCACGAGGCTTCAGACAGCGACAGGGAGTTGACTTCTTCCAGACCTTCTCCCCCACCCCGAAGATGACCACTCTTTGCGTGCTGCTGCACGTTGCTGCTCAGCGTGACTACGAGCTTCACTCTCTGGACTTTAGCACAGCGTTCTTACAGGGCAGTCTGCACGAGGAGATCTGGCTGCGCCGCCCACCTGGCTTCACTGGGTCGTTCTGTCCTGGTACCTAGTGGAGCCTCTGTCGGCCAGTCTACGATCTCCATCATGTTGTGTGATGCAATCATTCGCATTCACGTCTGTCTGCCTCCCATCACATGTTCGTGCGTTGCATGCGTGGTGTGATCGTGTGCAAGAATCTGTGTTTTCTGTGGTTTGGATTTTCTGAGTGTGTGTGAATGTTATTTGGCTTGAGCAGATATCTGAAGTGACTCCTCTGCTCAAGAGCTTTCAGTCGAGCCAAGTATCGCTTCAATCGGAGCATGAACAAGAAAGTTACGAACATTTGAAGTTCGTATGCTTTTGATATTTGTTTGTGGTGACCATGGAGAGTTGTGGGGTTGACTCAATATGGGGTACAGACTTTTGGGGGTTGGGAAATTCGTCACTATCACTGTAGTTGCTGCTAAATGGTTGGGAGAAACCAAACCAGGTTGGCAAGTGTGGCCGAGTTGGGTTGAGGTGGATTGTGGGGATTGGGATAGTGACAAAGGTCAAAGTTGGGTTGCCTATTGGGAAGGAAATTGTGTGGCATGGGGTTTCTTTGGTTGGGGAATCTCTTGGGACCTTCCCTCTCGTCCTCCTTATTCCCTCCCACCTGGTTTAGTGCTACTCTAACTCTCTTGCGTAGTAATTGTGTAATTGTGAGAACTCTTGTGATTGAGTTAAGATTCTATGGCAGCATACCCCCTAGTGCGCCGAAATTGATAACTAAAGAAATACTTCACCTTTCCATACGGTTCAACTTGGGAATTGTAGCCACGGAGTAGAGCTACAACATATTTGAGTTTGGTGAAGTTTAAACTGTGAACGTTTAGTCGACGGCGTTTCTTGTGAGCGCGACCTTTCTGTCCAGAATTCTAAGCCAACGATTTTGTGATAATTTCGGCTCCTAAGCTTCTAGACTCCGTCCTTAGTGTCTAGCACATCAGGCGCCTCGTGAGTGGCACGACACATTGAAGACGACACTTGCGGCTCTTGGGTTTGCCCCTTCGACTGCTGACCCGTCGCTGTTTCTACACACCGACACTTCACTGCCGCCGTTCCACATCCTCGTATACGTTGACCACTTGGTCTTTGCCACTGCTGACACTGAGGCTCTCGCCCTTGTGAAGTTGGAGCTGCAGAAGAGACACACGTGCACAGACCTGGGTGAGTTGCGCAGTTTCCTTGGCTTGCAGATCACTCGGGACAGAGCACGCCGCACCATCATCCTGACTCAGTCACACACGGTGCAGCAGGTCCTTCAGCGCTTCAGCTTCACTTGGTCCTCGCCACAGTCCACTCCTCTGGCTATAGGTCACTCGCTCTCAGCTCCACCTTTGGACGAGTCTGTAGAGCCGAGTGGCCCGTAGAGCTAGTGGGCTACCACATGTACCGATGACCTGCAATGGTCCTGACCTTGCGTACCCTCTTGGCCTTCTGACACGCTACGTCGCTCCTGGTAGGCACCAAAAGGTGCACATGGATGCTGCGAAGAGGGTACTATGCTACCTGTGCAGTACATTGGGCATGGGGCTCGTGCTTGGAGGGCGGAGCTTGGTTGTCCTCACAGGACACTCCGACGCTTCTTGGGCCGACGACCTGGCTATGCTGCGGTCGTACAGGGTTACATTTTCAGCCTTGGCTGCGGCTCTGTTTCTTGGCGGTCTACCCGCTCGTCTTCTGTTATCAGCTCCAGTTGTGAGGTTGAGATCTACACCACAGCCATGGCTGCAAAGGCATTACGCTGGCTCACCTACCTGCTGACCGACTTGGGAGAGAGGCCTCGTTCTCCTCCAGTTTTGTACGTAGACAACAAGGCCGCCATTGCCTTGTGTCAGGAGCACAGACTGGAGCATAGAACGAAGCACATCGCTCTCCATTACTTCCTGGCTCGAAAGTTGCAGCAGCGTGGGCAGCTTCGCCTTGCTCATGTGGCCACTCGGGCCAACACTGCTGATATATTCACCAAGGCACTTCCGTCTAGTGATCATCAGCGCTTCTGTACCATGTTAGGCCTTTTGCCTGTTTCGTCTCACTTGCTCACTTCGTGACTTTGCTTGTACTCTGATATATATATATATACCTGCATGCTTGCTCTTGCTAGGTATTGATCACTGTACTGTTGTTGTTGCATATATAATCTGCATGTGAACTGGCCTTGTGGCCCTTTGCTTGTGCTCGAGTGTGTGGTGACGTTGTGATCCACCCAGAGCTTGCTTTAATTTTATTGACTGGTCTTGTGACCCCTTGTTCTCCCCCACTTTGCCTATAAGGGTGTGTCAAACTATACATGTGTTAGTTTTGTGTAGGCTATAGTGGGGTAGCCCATATGGGGTACAACCCGAAGTTAGGGTTAGTACTTGTACCCACATTTCTTTCAATGCATCCATTAATGCTTGCTATCTTGACATTTTGCATCGTCGAAGCACGCTAAACGACCTTCTGCAACTACAAATCGTGGGCTGGAGCTCATTTCCCTCCACCCACGTCTCTCATTTTTCAAACGGCTCATGCAACTCTCCCACCCCCCGCCCCAACACCGATGGACATCCGTGCCGCCGCTTGAACAGGAGGACAGATAGTTAGTACAATGATAGGTGGTACGCACGTAGAATGCTTGATGGCTAGTACAATGATTGATAGGTAGTATCATGACATGTACTAGCACTTATATTGTCTAGCTCGATGTGCATGTTGTACTGTAATTTGTCACTGTCGAAAAAGGTTCTTAAGTTAGTAGGCTTAGTAGCCTAAGGTTTAGTTAGTGCGAGAGAAGCAAAGGGAATGTCGAGGGTGTTGACCAAAGGAGAAACGAGAATGGTGTTCATTATGAGAAAAGTTGCAAGTTATAGTAAGCCAAAGGGTGCACCACCTAGCAGGAAAGCAATAGAACTACACTAGGTCTACACTATAGGCAGTTATAGTAATGTATACAATTACATTCTGGCACACCCCCTAACTGCCTGCAGTGAAGAACCATGTGCATAAACACCCCCGGAAGGGGTACACCACGCGCAATGGAAGACGGTAAGGAGGTAAATGAGGGGGAGGAGGAGGAGGAGGAGAGAGAGAGAGAGAGAGAGAGAGAGAGAGAGAGAGAGAGAGAGAGAGAGAGAGAGAGAGAGAGAGAGAGAGAGAGAGAGTCTAGTTCACTCTCCAAAACCGGCGGCTCGTTCGAGAGAGCGAGAGAGAGAGAGAGAGAGAGAGAGAGAGAGAGAGAGAGAGAGAGAGAGAGAGAGAGAGAGAGAGAGAGAGAGAGAGAGAGAGAGAGAGGGATAGCCTAGTTCAGTCCTTAGCCGTTTTTAGACCTTCTCCCCTAGGATCTAGTCCCGTTTTTAGAGTACTTCCCCTAGTATAAAGCCCCTAAACCTATCCCTGTGAGCTCATTCTTCACTGGTGAGTCTAGTTCACTCTCCAAAACCGGCGGCTCGCGCCGGCCGCCTTCGGCGGCCGCCGCTCGCCGGCGCGGCCTGCGGCCGCGCGTGAGGTGCGGCAAGGAAATTCCAATGACATGATTCATAATAGCATTCGATACAACATGCAGTGGTAGGGCCCTACAGCAAAAGCAACACCCCCGGGCGTGCCTACACCGCCATGGGGAAGCCCAAGGCTAAACCCGCTGGGAAGGGGGAAAGCAGAGGGGACAAGCCGGCTACTCGGAGCGTATCCAGCACAGCCTCCCGTCCATCCAGCGTAGGACGGATGCGGCGGCTGATACAAGACCAAGAGGGGCCCCCTGCGCAGACTCAGCAAGCCGCAGCATTGCCCCAGGGCCGGACCCGAGCGCAGCACCAGGGGCGCCCTGGACAAGCCCGATCAGGGGGAGATAATGCAGCATCTCCCTTGCGGCGGACACCGCCGCTGACTGCTCCGACGGCAACATCCCCCCAACCTCCACACCCTGCCGCGCCAGACACACATGGAGTTGATCCAGCACGTAGGATAGCAACGTCAAACACGTCCCCACGTGCATCACGCGCTGCTCGACGTGGAAAGGAGTCGCTACCACATGCGCGGCAACATGAGGATCCCGTGGAACGTGTGGGAATAACTGCACATCGGGAGGCGCCGGAGGAACAGGAGACGACGGGGGGCGAGGCGGCTGCGGCCGAGGCGACAGGGGGAAGTGGCGCAATGGGGTCTGAGACAGAGGTGGCCGCGACGGTTGAGGATGCAGCTGCTGCGGGGCTGGAGGGGGTTGCTGCTGAGGCAACTGAGACGACGGCTGCTGTTGAGCCTGGTGGGCCTGACGCTGCCTCTGGCGGCGGCTCAGCCTCACCCTCTCCCATCCCCCAGGCACGGCAACCGGGGGAGACGGGACCACGAGTGGCTCAGGAACCGACCGTGGCGGTGGAGCTGACGGCGTCACCGGAGCCTGTAACGGCGTCTGCACCGGCTGCGGTGGCGACTGCGGCGACAGGGGAACAGGGCGGAGCCCGGACCGAGGAGGATGCGCCGGTCGCCGGTGCGGACGCCGAAACCTGTGTAGCTGCCGAAGGCGCAAGCACGCAGGGACACGACCTGGGGGGGAGCGGTAGACAGGGCCGCGGAGCTGACGGGACTGCCGGCGCCGCCCGCGGGAAAATGGCGCCTCGAGCCCGGCCAGCACCGAGGCGGCCCGGAGTAGGGCTGGGACTTGGTCCCCCGGGACCCCTCCTGGGCTGGCTTCTGCAAGGGCAGTTGCCACAAGGGCAAGAGCGTCATTTGCCATCTGCGGGAACAAGTGACGGGAGAGGGGAAGCAAGCGACGGGATCAGGCCCACACCCACACCGACCATAGTGACAGGGAACACGAGGGCGGACCCTGCAATGCAACAACCCCCGCGTCAAGAATTGCGGAACTCGACAGGCGGAGAGGAGGGAACGACCACGGCTGCCGCCACGGCTCAACAGACTCCTCGGCGCGAAACCCGCAGTGCCACGAGGGCGCAATGCATCACCTGGGGCCAGCCAAGGGCTGGCCAGGCAACGCCGATGGTGACACCGTGGATCCCGGCGGGAGCACCGCAACGGGCGGGCCGAGTCGAGCAGAACACCGGCCTTCGGGGGGGAGAAATGGCCCGCAGAGCAAGGGGAGGAGTGCGAGGGGCCAGAAGGGGACTCAGCGGGAGAGGCCCAATTGTCGGCGGAAGGGCCGCGCTCGTGAGAACAGGAACGTGGCGGGAACGCCACGAGCGACCGGAGCAAGCGGAGCATACACCGAATCAAAACGACGAAGCTAATGAAAACACCGATGAGGGGGGTGATTATGTAGCTGAGTCGGCGGAACCATCGGAGGAAATCTCGTTGGAGGAGGAGGAGGGAACACACATGACGAGAACAACTGGGGAGTGAAGGAGAACCCAGAACAATGGGGTAAACCCCCGGGGCGATAACCCACAGGGTGCGGGAATTGGGAACGAGGGAGCGCCAAGAGCAAGGGGGAACCCAAGTGTGGTGGGAGAAAATGGGGACGCAACCAACGAGGGACAGAGCGACTCTGGGGTCAGATCACCGTCTGACCTGGTAGAGGATTCTGCCATCTGGGAGCTGGCAGCCACGTGGGATAAATACCCACTCCAAAAAGGGGATCAACCCTTCTTGGTCCGCAGAATGCCGCCCACGATCCTGGAAAGTTACTCGCTCTGTCTCCTGGCGCCCCTCATTCGACTCTCGAAGAATCCTGTCTGCCCAGGTGCATGGGCGATATTGCTGTATCTGCCGAGGCTGACGCTACGCCCGGCCTCCGAACCTGTTGAAGGCAGCCGGTGGACAGAAATAGAGCTGCGCCTGCACCAGTTCCAACTCGGCAGCTGTCAGGCTCTGTACACCGACGCATGTGTTATCCCCGACAATGAAAACCCGACACGACACCAGCCGGATGACGCAGGTTTATGCGCGAGGGCGGAAGGATTGATACAAAAAGGAAACATTTCCAAGGCGGTAGCAGCGTTACGAACTACACCGCTCGCGAAAGCGACGGCAGAAACATTGACTGCACTTCAAGCGAAACACCCCGCGGCCGAAACTTCGGTACCAGGACCGGTTACAGGGTTCAACCGTTCGACCCTTAGTGTATCAACAGACGAACTTCACGAAATTTTGAAGAAATGCCCGAACGGGGTTGGAGCCGGCCCATCTGGCACCTGTTTTGAACACCTCAAGGATCCGGCACTGGCAAACGGGGAGGTGCTTATTCTACTCGCTAAGGTGGTGACGTACCTGCTGAGCACGTTCCAAACACAAACGACCCAAGATCTGCTGCTGCCATCATGGTTGATCGCTCTAGAAAAACCAGGCGGTGGAGTCCGGCCTATTGCGATAGGGGAGGCCATCCTTCGAGTTGTAGCTAAGGCGGCACTGCGTGGTTTAACCGAGAACATTAAGGCCTTTTTCCTACCAGTCCAGTTTGGGGTAGCGATACCGGGTGGCGCGGAGTGTATCGTCCACTCCGTCAGATCGCTACTGAGAGACGATGACACACGAGTAGCACTGCAGTTGGACATAGAAAACGCCTTCAACAGTGTCGAACGGGCGGCTTTCTTCAACGCTCTCTCCTAGTCCAGTCTACTGCAGCTAATGCCCCTGGCCCGAACACTCTATGAGGCACCGTTGCCACTCTTGGTTGACGAGCGGTTCGGAGTGAACCAAATCCTCTCGTCACGCGGAGTGCGTCAAGGGGACCCGCTCGGTCCACTACTCTTCGCGGCAGCTATTCAACCATGCCTGCTAAGTACGGCGACCCTCCTACCGGAAGTCGCGATAGTAGCCTACGCCGACGACATAACGATCGTGGGGCCAAAGGAGGCTTGCTATGAGGCCTTTGGGGCCATTACCAGGGAGCTGGCAACACTCGGCCTCCGCTGCAACATCGCAAAATCGTCGGCCTGGGGACAGTCGTTGGCGGAAGACGGCAGCACGCCACCTCCCATCAGCCTGCAACAGACCACCGACGGGATCCGAGTCCTAGGCAGCCCAGTAGGCGTGCCCACCTTCTGCACCACCCAAGCACAAACACGGCTTGTTGAGGCGTCGGCCCCGCTGCCCTTGGTGGCGCAGCTCCACCCGCAGAGTGCAATGCTCATCCTCACGAGGAGCATATCCCGCCGAATGTCCTACTTCCTGCGGACGACACCGGCGGAAGTCCTGGGGAGAGATGAGTGGAGGAGCTGGAGTGAGAACCTGATGGCAACGGCTCTAGCAGCAGCGAAGCTCCGAGTACCCTCAGATTAGCTGGAGAGGAGTTTGTTGTGGCGCCAGGGGAGTCTGCCGATCAGGCTGGGAGGCCTGGGGATTCTTGACCCAGTCTCCGAGGCACCTGCGGCCTACATCGCCTCGGTCACAGCGGCGCAGCAGCTGCTGAGCCAGATGAACTTGCCTGAGGCCTATCTCTTGAGCAGGGCGGTCGAGCTGCTCTGCCCTGATTGGACCCCAGCCCCGCCTAGCATCAACCCCCTGACAACACTGGAGGCCGGGCTACCCCTAGCGGCACGGGCGGCACTGCACACTTACAGGGAGCAGCCGGCGGGACAGGGGAACCTTTAACTGACCCTGTCCCGCCACATCAACGAGACGAGAGCGGCGGAGCTGCTGGCCGACACAATAGAAGACCGCCCAGGGAAGGACCGTGGGCACGCATTGCGGCTCATCAGCCTGCAAGGGGTAGGCGCGGGGGATTGGCTCCATGCCGTCCCAACGAGATCTGACCTTACTTTCGCCCCTGGTCAGTTCTCGTTGGCACTTGGCTTCCGCCTCGGAATGGCTCTGCCAGTCACAACCACCTGCCCGTGCAAGCGAGCCAACACTGCAATCACGGACACGAGCTTGGAAAACCACCTCTTACGGTGTGGGCACGGAGGAGATGTAGTCCGCACACATGATGCTCTAGTGTTTACTCTGCTCCGGATGGCAAAGGAGGCCGACTTCACGGTTTTCCACGAAACCACCGCCTTTTCCCCACCGGTGCTGAGGAAGAGAGGAGACCTGGCTATTCGCGACAAGGAGTCAAATGCGACTTGGGTCACAGACGTGACAGTGACCGACCCAGTGCTGCAGTGCCGTGACAAGCACGCCCGGAAGCCGCCTGGATGGGCGGCACGAGAAGCCTCAGAGAAGAAACACAGGCTCTATGAGGGGCGGCCTGACTACGTGGGTTTCTTCGGGTTGGCAGTGGAAACATACGGTGCCCTGGCTACGGATACCCAACAGTTCATCCGCTTGCTAGCAACCTCGACGGCGAAAACCAGGTTCCGCCAGGGGAGGCTCACCACCACCACTGCTCGGCTCACCGCTCACTACAGGCAGCGCTTCAGCGTTATGCTCCAGCGCTCATAGGCCTCGTCATTCCTGAACAAGTCGAACATAGGGGACGTGGCAGCCTTCTCACAGGTTGCCAGGGACCCCTGGGAATCTAGCCTAGGGGATCTCTGGCAAGTCCTGGAGGATGAGATGGATGGGGTGATGGGTCAGTGAGCGGGATAGATACTGCATGGGGTCTGGCTAAGTGTTAGCCAAATGCTTCTCTGGCTCAGGCCTCTGTGGATTGCCTTGCCTTGCCTTGCTTGCCTGGCTCGGGTGGGCCTTGCTTTGTGGGCCTGTTCTGTGTGTTTTGCACCCCCTCACTTGCCCCCAAATTCCTGACCCACTGTCACACAGGATTTGCTAGCCTGGCCACCCGTGGTGCCCACCTCGGCCTTGCCAAGCATTACCGGCTGCTCGCAGTACTAGGGATGTTCTGCACCTGTTCTTGCCATGCCTGTACCCCTATGAACCTATCAATGAAGGACTGCTTGAGAGAGAGAGAGAGAGAGAGGAGAGGGATAAGGAGAGGAGGTGGGGGAGCCATGCGGCGAGCCCCTCTTACGAACCCCCGTTTTACAAAGGGGGGTAGGGTGAGAGAGGGATGAGGAGAGGAGGTGTGGGGAGCCAAGCGCGACGAGCCCCTCTTACGAACCCCCTTTTTACAAAGGAGGGGAGGGTGAGAGAGGGAGGAGAGGTGGGGGGAGCTAAGCGTGGCGAGCCCCTCTTACAAACCCCCAAGTCCACACCCTCTTTCAGCCACCCCCCTCAACCTCATGTCAGACATATATGACATAGCTATTTTAGGCTATAGTGGGGTAGCACATATGGGGTACAGCTTTCTAGGGTTGTAAATGTACCCAACTTTCACTTAGTCATTTCATTCTCGTTCTCATCTTCACATGGAATCAGAGCAGGTCCCCTCCTAGGGACTGTTCCTAGGGCCCACCGAAGCGCGCCTTGAGTCGCGCTCTCACTCTTTTTTTTTTAGCGACCCGCCGTGTCGCCCCTAGCCGCCTGTCGCGCCGCCCTTTACGGTCGCGTCGAGCCGCCCTAACGGCAACGACGCGCCGCCCTTGCAGCGGCCTGCCGCGCCACCCTACCTCGCGGCCCCGCCGCCCCATCGCGCGGCCCCGCCGCCCTTTCCTCACGGCCCCGCCGCCCTTCCTCGCAGCCCCGCCGCCCCATCACGCGGCCCCCCCGCTCCTTCCTCGCGGCCCCGCCGCCCAGTCGAGCGGCCCCGCCGCCCTTTTCTCGCGGCCCCGCCGCCCTTCCTCGCGGCCCCGCCGCCCCGTCGAGCGGCCCCGCCGCCCTTCCTCGCGGCCCCGCTGCTCCGTCGCGCGGCCCTGCCGCCGCCCTACCTGCGGCCCTGCCGCCTCCCTACCTGCGGCCCACCCGCCGCCCTACCTGCGGCCCACCCGCCGCCCTACCTGCGGCCCTGTCTCCGCCCTCCCTGCGGCCCTACCGCAGCCCTACCTGCGGCCTACCCGCCGCCCTACCTGCGGCCCACCCGCCACCCTACCTGCGGCCCTACCGCCGCCCTACCTGCGGCCCACCCGCCGCCCTACCTGCGGCCCACCCGCCGCCCTACCTGCGGCCCTACCGCCGCCCTACCTGCGGCCCACCCGCCGCCCTACCTGTGGCTCTCCCGCCGCCCTACTTGCGGCTCACCCGCCGCCCTATCTACGACCGCCGCGCCGCCCTGTACCAGCGCCACCGCGCCGCCCTGCACCAGAGCCGCCTAGCAGAAGAACCGCCGGGAGCCAAGCCGCCCTGCCGCCGAGCCGCCCAGCAACCGAGCCGCCCGGGAGCCGAGCCGCCCAGCCGCCGAGCCACCCTGCCGCCGAGCCGCCCGGGAGCCGAGCCGCCCTGCCGCCGAGCCGCCCTGCAGCCGAGCCGCCCAGCACCCGAGCCGCCGAGCCGCCGAGCCGCCCAGTTGCCGAGCCGCCCAGCAGCCGAGCCGCCCCACTGCCGAGCCGCCCAGCAGCCGAGCCGCCCCACTGCCAAGCCGCCCAGCAGCCGAGCCGCCCGACTGCCGAGCCGCCCGACCTGCCCTG